CCCGCTGTGGACAGGGACATCTTTCACTAAATCGTATTACTCAGAGGCCCATCCAACCTAGTTTTGAACACTGCCAGTAGTGGGGCATTTACAACTACTCTGGGTAACCTGTTTCAGTGTCTCACCACCCTCACAGTAAAGAATTTTTTCCTTATATCCAATCTAAATCTAACCTCTTTTAGTTTAAAACCACTGTCCCTTGTCCTGTCTCTACAGGCCTTGGTAAGAAGTCTCTCTGTCTTTCTTATAAGCCTGCTTTAAGTATCACAGCCTCCTGGAGCCTTCCATTCTCCATGCTGAACAACTCCAACTCTCTCAGCCTTTCTTCATAGGAGGTGTGTTCCACTCCTCTGACCATTTTCATGGCCCTCCTCTCTACCCACTCCAGCAAGTCCATGTTTTTCTTGTCCTGGAAACCCCAGAGCTGGATACAGTACTCCAGGTGGGATCCAAGAGAGCAGAAGGGGGGAAAATCACCTCCCTTGACACGCTTCTCTTTATGCAGCCCAGGACTATCATAGAGACCAACCTCTGAATTACAGAGAGTAGATTATGACTAGCACTGAATTAATCTGTTTTGGCTTGTACTTGCAATTAAACTGTGTTTAGTTATGCCCCCTCAACAACGCATATTTTTAAATTGGATCTAAGGATCAACTGAGGGGAAGGAGGAAGGAGGCAGCTGCATATTATCTTCATCGACCTAATACCATGGAAGCAGCGAACACCCAACATCAGATGGACAAAATGCGAACTATCCAAATGCTAGAAAAATATACCTTTACTGACTGCTTTTGAGAAAAGTTGTGACCTTCTAGAATTGATGCCATACACAGCACCTATGATAGCAGTGCCACCACAGCTCTCTTAATTGCTCTCATTGAAAACTTCCTGTAAACTAGTGATCTTGTAATCTTTGCAGATAGCTTTAGATGATCCCTCCCACCTACCTTATTTGTTTTATTCATATAAAAGGGATAAAGACCACAGCTAAAAAAATAACACTGCCTCGTTTTCAAAAGCAAGACAGAAAGAGGCCATTTTCCTTGTAATGTTAGGAAAATAGAAATTACCAGGAAAGGAAGCAATTTACAAGTACGCACTAAATATAATCACATGAAACTGAGCCTGTATTCCAGCATTTTAGAAAGCTATTATGGAGATTCTGGCTATACTTGAGAAAAAATAACCTGTCAAGGATTTTAAGTTTTTGTTCCAGAAAAAGAGAGATTTATAAAATCTTGCTGGGGAATGAAATCTTATATTTTGCTCCACTATTATTACCCTTACACCCTTAAAAACCACCTTGCAAAACCTGCTGCCACAAGAAACCTAAAGGCCATGTTTCAAGTTCAACACCAGCCCTGTTACAACACCTACTACGACAATAATGAAAGCTTTTTCATAAAAATCCCTTGGCAATTACAGCTGTGTACACTCTACTCATAATAGAGGTTTTAAAAGGAGATTAATCATGCTCTGGTCCTCAAACTAGACTGATAAGTCATGATGATGTCACACAGTGATTCATGCCTCAGATGAGTCATACAGCCAGGATAATTATCTAGCAGGTCTTCTGCCAGTCTCTTGTTCAAAGACTGAGCGCATTATGGGATGGAGAACTCCTGCTGTATAAATAAAAAAGGAAGTGTGGAGAAACAAGGAAATCAGTGCTACCAGGAAGTATTAGATGCCTCCCTGACTAATTTGCAGGTTGAATTTGAAACACAGGTTTTCTCTTCGCTGTGACCATGTTCTATTAAAGTAAATACTCTGTTGTTCTATTTTACAAGTAAAATTCCTCTTTAAATGTTTAAGCTTGACTTTGCATACCCATGTAAATTATTAGTCTTTAAAAAAACCTCTTGTGACATGGCAAAATAATTTTCCAGCTTCAATACAAAATAGCACTTTTTTCTACTGGTAAAAGACATTAAAATTTTTACTGTATTAAGTGCTCTGTGTAACTTCTACAAAAGTTGTATACAAAAATCTTAGAAGTAGACGAAAAATCCAAAGTACACGCTGACAGCCAATGCTCTGCGAATACTTTATTACACAAATTACATTCAGCTTCTGAAAATAGTGTTCTAACAGTGATACCATCTAAAAATAAGACATCCCAGAAACACATCAAGTTAGGAAGAAGAAAAAAAATTAGAGACTTTTTTCTTTCCTTCAATGCAATATAATGTTAGTGATTTTAAAAAAATAGAAGAAGATTTAGCAGCTTAATTTTCTTGTGGCACTGTATTTTCTCTGTACTGCAACAGGTTAAGGACATTGAAGAGGAAAGGCACAAAACAGAAATTGGCAAAACTGAATAGTTATGGCAAAAATATTTTGATGAAGCAGATAGTAAGACTTATTTACAAGATCCCCAAATTGATATGAGAAAGTACTTCTGCTTTAAATCAGTGCCCCAATTAGAAGACTGTTTGCTTTATTAAGATGTTCACATAAAAAAACAATGGCACTGATATGGAACTTCCACACACTCCTCCACTTAAAAAATAGAACTAAAACCAAACAAAAATCAAAGGAACCAGTGTACAGCCTCACACAGACTAGTACAGTTTACAATTAAATACATAAAATCTTAAACGTGCTTAAGGGAAAAGGAATCTGACATTATAGGTTGAATTGTACAAGGCTGGTTTCAGGATGATGAAGGTGCTGGTGGGGGTGGAGGTGCTGAACACTCTTCCTCTGAATCTGTGCCATCATCTTCATCTTTTTCTTGATCACTTCCTTCAGTGTTCAGTCGGTCAAACCCTTTTCGGCTGTAGCCTTTGTGACTTGCAAAGAAGTTCCCAAGATTAAGACCACCACCGCCTTTCCCTGTAGAAAGGAAAGTCTTGTCATAAGGTTTACTTTACTGTATGGAAGGAATAAATATCTAGCTACTCATGCAACAGTATACTGGAGATTATTTTAACTGTCCTTCCTGAAACTGTTTTCAGAGATCAGCACATGAGCCACAAAAGCTAAATACAGAGATTATGAATGAGGAAGAAAATTAATGTTTGAAGAAGTTTCAAACTGTGTTTTTCAGTGTTCATTGTTTCATTCAATCTTTAGGCAGGCTATTTGTGTTCCCACCAGTTTGTGCAATCTTGAAGTGTTTCACTTCATTCACCAGTTCCACAGGTAACATTGTAACAGCTACTGCTCCCTGTCTGGTAGTGACATATCCCTCTCAGCAAGCAGATAATGGCAGATGAAAGGTGTCTTAAAACACATTTCCACTAAACACCTGAGATTTGCTCTCAATAATTCCTCTGAGAAAGTTCCATCAAATCTGTTATTCAACTAGAAGTGAATAAAGGAAAAAGCCTCCAGTGACTGTGTTCCTAAAAGATCTCCAATGACTTAAACTTACCTTTAAGTCTGCCTAAAATTCTGCCTGAACTGGAATCAAGTTTGTGCTCCCCATCAGCTGAAAAATAAGGTAGATTTAAAAAATAAGCTAAAACCCCCCATATTCTATGATTAAATAATTATCTGTATTTTCTGATACAAAGCACAGACATTCAACAAATTCATCAGCAGCATTAAGAAGCAAAACTGATACTTTTCAGCTTCTTGATTAAGGTGAAATTATAATTACTAAAAAAATTACTATACCACAGATGTTCAGTTTAAGCCAATTCAGTCATCAAGATGATCGGCATGGAAGTTATTTCTGAGAATTTAATTCCCTCAAACGTTCACTTATGTTACTGTGAAGAGTTTACAGGAAGAAGAACCTTGTCATTTGTAATGTGCACAACTACACTCCAGAACACTGCAAAATACAGCTTGATATTTGAAATAGTATAGGTCCCCTTCAGAGAAGATGGGCTTTCTGGAAAAGAACGATCTGTGAATTTCTTCAGGTATTTTGGAGGAACTTCCTCTCCCACCTTACCAACTATATCCTCTTCCCTGGTAACTCTTTCCATCCTTCATCTGAAGAGAAATTAAATGTTATGACCAAACTGTTTTTTCATATATACTACTCAATTTCCATAAATCTGTGCAAAAAGTTTACCAATTTAACTGTATCATACTCTTTGATGCATTAAATTCAAGCACTGTTTGAATCAAAATGGAATGCAAAGATGGTGTTATAGATCATAGAATCATAGAATGGTTTGGGTTGGAAGGGACCTTAAAGATCATCTAGTTCCAGCCCCCCTGCCATGGGCAGGGACACCTTCCACCAGACGAGGTTGCTCAAAGCCTCATCCAACCTGGCCTTGAACACAATCCATACCCATTAACACAAATCAGATCATATCCATTAACAGCAGTAACAGCAGTAGTCTACAGTGTTAGAACACTTAATGTGCTAAGCATGTCTGAACGTAAAGAGTCAGGAAGCTGCACACTGAAATCTTCAAATAAAATACATCGAATGCACTTGCACAGCAATGTTAGCTTGCTGAATTACCTACTCTGTCATAGTATGTCCTACCCAGTGGCATAACTGTTATTTGTCTATTCCATGTACATTTACTTCTCTTAAAGAGAATATCTTGATAAAATTATTTATACCATACCAAATAAGAAGTGTAATGATCAAACTCCTACAGCAGTCTAACAGTTTCTCAAAAAATAATGTTGTTATATAAAATGAATTACAAACAAATTTACATAGCATTGTAAGTACCAATTAAGACGCTCACAGCAATGGATTGAGGTGCATTACGGAAACATGTCCGACTCACAAAATGCACAAGGTAGTAGTTAACAATAATATATAATCTCTTGTATATGTTAACTGTTTGCATTTTGCTTATACCTTTATAATACCCATAGAGTCCTTTGTTCTCCAGAATTTAAAAATGCCAAAGTGAAAATCAAACTATCTTCAGAGTATTAAAATTTATGCATTCTAGATGATAACATGAATATATTCTAGTCATTTTTGAGGTATCAATTTTTGTCTTGACACCAATTCAAGTTTTTAGATACACGTTCTGAAGAGGTAGTGGCTTGAGAAGTAATATTAAAGGCACAGGGAGATACAGATGCTGTGCGCATGCTGATTTTAGTTTGCGTGCAGCATCACAGTAATTGTTCAGGAGGACAAAGGGACAGTAAGCCTCTCTCTTCACACCCTCATCCCTCAGTGTTCCTTAATGTTTTGAAAAAAAATAAAAATAATAAAAGCCTGTTTTCTAGAGTTACTCATGGTTACCTCCATAGACAGTTGTCTTCCTCCATCGGATAAATACTAAAATTGCCAGCAGAACAACAACAGGGATAATTAGAAGAGTTGTAATAAGAACAAAGGAAACTCCAGTGCTGGTCTGTTGGACCAAATGTTGTTTTTCCTGCTTCTTTAGAGGGTCTGCAGATTCTGGGTTGTTTTTCAATCTGGCTTCTACAATTGTTTCTGATTCTTTAAAAAGAAGAAAATTTAAATATGTAATCCATATACATCAAGCAACATAGAACAAGGCGTTGAAGAAAAGAATAAGCTAAAATACCTGAAGTATTGAGTAACATGGAAACAAAAGACAAACACTTATGGAGACATTTTTAGCTCTTGCTGATGTTATCTCAAAGGTAATGTACAAAGAGCCTGAATGATATCACTCACTAGCAAAAATGCTCTCCCCTTTTCTCAAATGGGGAAAGGAGAGGTGTAAGGAAGAGTTTTGTCTTAAAAAGTATTGACCATTGAAAGTACAGGAAAAATCCCCAAAAGATCTATTTTTGCAAATAGGTGTGTGATGTAATATAAAAAATATCACTTCCACAAGAAATATAGAAATCCAGTATATGCTGTATTACCATAAACAAAAAGGAAAGCATTTAAAATTGTTCTTAATAAACTTGTAACAAAAAAGTTAAATTTTCAGAACTGCTACATCCTGTGAAGGAACTTTGGCTCTGTAAATCTGTAGAACTTTTGAAAACTGCATCGAATCATTCCTGACTAATTTGTTACCTCTCAACCTACAAGGAGAAAATAAATTTAAATAAAATCCTCTGTTGTTTTGTATATGTATAAAAGATCACATGTTGTGCTAACTTTTAAATAGTAAAACTGTCTAGCTTTATATTTTAAAGTCTGACTTAACTGCATGTCTTAAGAAGTAGCTGCATCAGAAACGCACTCTGAATCAATTCTATTTTGATTCTGTATCAAACTTAAAATGACGTTCTATTCTCAGGGAATAGTAAATGCTTTGGTTTACACTTAACACTAATACGATGCTAACAATGATATAATTGTTACCACTAATACAATTATAACAATGGCACAATGATAATATGCTGTCTGTTCAAACAGTAGTTACAGCCAAGAGCAATTTTCCTCCACCAAGATACCTTGCCCACCTCTGGGCAAAATTACAGTTCTCCATGTCTTTTCTCCCACTTCACAGCAGTGCAGGTAACAGTCAGTCACCAGGAGGCTGTGAAAGTGCAGGCCACTCCTGTCCATATATTAAGCTGAGGATGAAACAAAGTCTATTGGCTATCTGTTTTCTTTAGGTGGAGTTGAAAGGTATTAATTTCAGTCTATGTACCCCAAGCAGTTTTGGAAATTGTTACTTAAAAACTGCTTCTTACCCTGGTGATACTATTGTATTTCTCTCTGTAACATTTTAAGTGTCACCTAGCACAGTATCTTCCTAAAGAAAATTGAAATGCATTATTATATACCAAGATTTGTTGTATTGTTGATGCTGTAATGTACAGCACTTCCCTTTTGAGTGCTTGGGGAGGACTGATGTACCAACAGAGATAAAATAGAAGGATAACAGTTCTCACAATAAGGATTTCATTGTTTTATAATGTCAGCCGATTTATTCTGCTTTATTCTATATGTTTGCAATTGGCAGTTGGGATCCTTTGGTATTTTTCTCTGTCTGCATACGCATGGCTAAAGCAAACCACACAAGCTCTGAATTCCACCAAAGAAAAATGGTTAAGAACATATGAACATTTTATAAAGGCCTCTCTGTTGCCTGGTACTGTTTTTCTGAAAGATAAATGAACTTTTTCTTTTCAACAACAAAGACCTACACAACAGAATAGTAAAGGTTAAAATTAGTTTTTATCTTCCTGAATTGCTATTTTACCCCTTCCAATCTCCTCTACATGTATGTCTCTATTTTTTATATCAAGTTTCTACATGTTTTTATTTTCCTTTTTTTTTTTTTTTTTTTCCATTTTCATGCAGATAAATTGAAAAAAAAGAAAGAAGTAGATTTAGGGAAATAAATCTAAACAGAAGAAAATATTTTTTTTGCCATATGGTGTGACTGGCAAGGCGGCTAAGGGAGCTGACACAGATACCAATCTGGACCATACCAGATGGTGGAATGGAATTAATCCACTAGTTAAATTTTTATCTTAGTGTCTGTGAAGCACTTATGACTGAAAAGGAAATGTTTAGATTGGTTGTAAAATAGTGTTTACAAGCTGCTTTCTAGTGCATCCTACGTCAGCTCATTTTATCTATAATCACTGTATGACATAATGGTGAAAAATGAAACAAAAGTGAAACTAGTTAGCATTTTTCCCTCCAACTTGGCAGAAGCAATTCTAGTCTATGTGTGAAAATACTGGTTCCTTCATTTCCATTATGAATCAGACTAACCTTTTATTTCCTGTACCTCAATACCAGCCTTTTTAACTGACCGATGTTCCATTTCTGTAAAACAAAATTATTCTTCAGGACAACTGACATTTCAGAAAGACACTCAGTGACATTTTCCTGCTAGCTTTCTCAAATACACAGTACAGCCTACAGTAAACAATCCCATCAGCATCTGAACTTCACCAAGGAGAGTCAACATAAATCAAATGATAGCTCATAAGGTCATAGAAAGAAGAAAAGAGCTTGATTCATGGAAGGTGTTTGCAATAATTCTTATGCCACAGAGAGATTTTATGGGCACGTGTAAAGGTTCAGGGATTCCCACAAAAATAAAACTCTTAATTATTATTAAAATAATGATGGATTAAAGGCTGGCTGAATCAGGGCTCCTTATCTACCGCAGTTTTATACTGCAGCAAAGGCTAAAAAGAAAAATATATACAAGGACTTTCCTCATCTAACTTTTAAGTGATGAATAATTCCATTATTTTTTTTGTTCTCATGTTTCTTTGAATAAAAGCTTACAAGTGTTCTTGTTCAGGTTAGTATACACAGAAAAAAACATATCCAGTCAGAATTACAATTTATCTGGTCTAGTTTCCTGTTATTAACAGCAGCTGATACCAGATGACTCAAAGGAAAACCCGTGAATGATAAACAGACAAATATGGAATAACTGACTTAGTCAGAAGTTCATTTATTCAGCAGACTCTTACTGGTTGACTGACACCCTGAAGCCTGAGGTTTTATATCTCTCATACATTTTGTATTCAACATAATGTAAAAGTGGATTATATTTTTATTTCTGCAAAATATCTAATGTCTCTCCAAATCCTACTGAATTGATGCCTGACTAATCAGATCCCTCTCCCTGAAGTCAGGTTGCTTGGTTTGGGGGTTACTCAATTAAAACAGGGAAGTGGTTCCACTTAATGGAAATAGAACTTCAAATTATACTAGATTTATTTTCTAATGATGAATACTCCCAATGAAATTAATATAAATTTTAAGTTGACTTCTGTTTTCACTTCAGCCCCTGGAAGTTTCCTATATGATAACTTCAAAGGAAGCAGTTCACTTCTCAGCAAATGATACATTAAAGTTACTAAAATGCTAAAGAGTTGTGCTTTTGTTTAAGCAGGTGTTGATATGACAAGGGACTGATCTACCATGAGCTAAATGCATTTTGATTCCTCCTGCAACAAATGAACTCGTGTTCAGGACTCTCCTTTGACAAAGCATGCAGCAATGCTGAAGAATGGTCTTTTAATGAAAACTGAGCACTAGCACACAACTTCTGGAGACAGAGCCTGGAGCTTCAATCATTTTCATTAAGCCACCAGTGATACCAGGTAAGTGGTACTGATCTGAAGACACAAAATGTGAAGTTGGGACATTAAGAACAAAAAGAACATACTTTCTGTGGATGCAAACTTCCACACTGCTCTGGCATGAACATCTCCAATGAATACTTTTTTATCTTCTGAAGCAACAACATCATGTGGCATCTCAAAGTTCTGTGAAGACAAGCAGTCACAGATTACTCTTATGTGTCTACACACTGATGAGGCCTCCTTAACCCTGAATTTGAGACTGGTCATAGCCAGTCCTTAGACTGGAAAATGCAGCAGGTGCTGGTGTGAAGGCCTAATATGAGTGAAGGGAGAGGAATTTGATTCCTATTTTATGTTTGCCTTCTCCAGGGATAACAACATGGAGATTATTAGCTGTATCCATGCTAAACAATTTTTATAGTTATATTCTTGCATTCAATTTTATCTTGTGAAATATATATTTAAAAAATCATCAGTCTTGGTTTCAAGCCCATATACTTAGTTTTTGTCAGTTTGTATGCAACAGAGCTATTTGCTATACTAAAAAAAAAAAAACCCAACTCTAATATAATTTAAAACTGAACTGCAAATAACAAGAGTATATGTGCTACCCAGAAATGGGAATCTTAATTCTTTAGTCTAAGACAATATATGGAAAATTGTATTTAAAATAAATATATTTTTATGTACGATACTGCATGAATGACATTTAGCCTCAACTTCCACACTAATCTTCTGTAAAGAAGGGATGTAACCATAGAGTTAAATTTTGTTTCCGCTTAGGAACATACTCCATTTTTTGACATATTACTGGCATCTAAATACATGACTATTTCAAGTCCTTTGTTCTTCTCTTAAATTAGCTTTTAAGAACTCTCTGACAGCAATAAAATAGGCTCATTCTGAAGGAAGGTATTATCTATAGGAATCATATTGTGGGTAGTATAATTTTTAAATATGTACCACATGTAGAAACTAAGACCCAAAATTCTACTGTTTTTATTAAATTATTATTATAAAGAATTCTTCTTGAATACATTACATTATAAAACATCTTATATCCTGTAATAGTCTTATGAAAGTTGGAGAAATAGGATGTTACCAACATTCTCATATATCATTATATACACCAGGCACTCTGCAATACTCTACCTTTCTAAGCGGAATGAAAGTATCAATTATTTCTCCAGTAGAGAAGTTCATCACAAATCCTTGCACAGGTTCTGCCTCTCCAGGATAAGGCATACCATTAACTGCAAAGAGGAGACCACCTGCAACAACATTAGATTTGCTTTAACAACCCACACAAAGCAAACTACAATGAGGATGAATTGTAATAGTATAGATGAAAAAAAGCTGTCTGAGAGGAAGTCAGAGACAGACAGAAAGGTAACTCAACAGGAAACTAAAGCACAAGAGGAAAGTTAAGTAAGGTACAACAGGTGAAAGTTTGGCATTTAAGAGATCCACACTCAAATTTTCTTCATACCAAAGAGGTCAGAGGAGCCCGCTCAAATGGAAGAAGATACATAGAAGATGTTAGATAATTTTGAGGTTAATAATTTACCAGGTTTGGCTGGCATTCACTCAAGTTCACAGGAATTCAAATGTGAGATTGCAGACCTCAGGCCAAGCTAAGTAACCTAGCACTGCAAACACCCACTCCCCAAATACTAGCAGACTGCCAAAGTAATACCTATCCACAACAAGGGCTCAAAAGGGTGCCTGGGAACTGCACATCAACAATTCTGGCTTCCATCCCTAGTAAGATGGTAGAATCCATAGTGAAGACTAGGATATGGGTAAGTGTGGCCAGTTGGAAACAAGCTGGTATAGCTTCTCTAAGGGGAAATTGTGCCTCATCACTGAATGGGGAGGAAAAGCGCACAGGTGAAGGAGATTCTGTAGACATACTTGGATTTTCAGAAAGCCTTTGACAAGGTTGTGCATCAGAGGTTATTAAAGAATGTGAGTTGTCACAGGGCTGAATGAAAGATCCATTAACGAACAGGAAGCAAAAAGCAGAGCTTAAGGGCTCTTAAGAGCTTAAGAGTTTATCATTTTTCAGGATAGAGAAGTCTGAGCAGGGTGTTTCTGCAGGGATCAGGGCCAGAGACAATTTCATTCAATAGTCTTCAGCAGTGACCTGAAGAATGGGGTGAACAGTGACATCTCCCAGTTTAAGGAAGGTACTGAGTTCTGTGGAGTAGTCAAAAGCTTGACAATATTGAGAAAGTTCAGAAAGACTTCATGTAAGATTGAGTTGTCAAACAGATGAGAGAAGAACAACAGTAAAGACAAATGTAGTGATGCTTCTGCAAGAAAATATGTCTCCATGATGTGTAGCTTGGAAGTAGCAGATACAACTCCAGAGAGACATCTCTGAGCTATCACTGAAGGGTCTCTGAAATCTTTGGCTCCATGTACGGTGACAGCTGAAATTTCAACAGAATGTTGCACATGATCAGGAAGAAAATTAAGATGGAGGGGACAGTTCTGCCACTATGCAAAAACTTTGCATGCCCACATCTTGAGTACTGAATGCTGTTTTATTCTCTGCATCTCAAGATGGTCCGAATGAAGTTAAAGATGCTAGAAGAGAAGGGCAACTACAGCAGTCAAGGGGCTGAAGCAATCAAATGGCTTATGGGAGAGATTAAGGTGTCTGGAGTTCTTTGGTTTGGAGAGGAGAAGGCTAAGAGGCAGCAAATATAGGGAGAGTGGAATTGTTATTCACCAACTCCCAAAATACTGTGACTGAGAAACACTCAATTAAACTAGGTCTTTTTTTAATTAAAAAAAATAAAGTGGGTAGTGAACTTCTGGAGCCTGTAACTGCAGCAGGTCGAGGAGGCAGACAGCACATGCCAGTTAAAAATGGGATTAGGAAATCTCATGGGCATTAGATCTATAGAAAGATAACATGCAGAAGAGGTTAGGAGGTACCTCCTAACACTCTTAAATATAAGTGCTTCTGGATGCATGGGGAGTAGAAGAGGAATGGACCACAGAATTCATCCAGGCTTACACATTCTCCTTAGAATGCTTCTCTTGCTGCCACTGTCAGAGACAGCGAATTGGGCTATAGGTATCAATTATCTGTGTATCAGTACAGCTTTTCTTATTGGCAGATGCAAGAGAGATAACCCTGATATTAAATTTGATATCAATTACAATCTATGGCCTAACGTACCAAAATTCCTTGTCCAGCTATTGACATTTACATTATCTTCTGTATCAGCATTAAAAATCTAATGCAAAAACTTAAATACAGTAATTGTTAACCAGATTGTGATATTAAAATACACAACTTGTTATTATTAACTAATTATTGACTGTGCAGCCACTAGGAAGCAAACAGTATCATACTGCACCTGGGTCGGGGCAACCCCAGGCA